TATAATGTAGAAGGTATATGGGGTAGTGGCGAATTTTGCGGTGAAAAAGCTTATCATCTTTATTGCTATACAAATAAATATCAGAATTCAAAGTATAAAAGCATAAGTTGACTTCGACAATGCATATATAAATCATTTTTCCGCGATCACATGGGCTTGCCCCTTGGGGCTCCATGTCACATGCATAGCTAAATCGATTTATTTTTTTACGGAATGTACATCTAAAAAATCAGGTATTGTACAATGATGTATCTGCATGCACAGATCGTCTAGTGAAACGGTACGCTTTCTTTTAAAGGTAAAATATTTGAGATCTGTCTATTTCGGATTAGCTCCTTAATCTGATCATACACATTTTATAAAACGCGTCTTTTTGCCAATGTTACTTTAACGCGTCTCTTCCTATTTACCTTGTTTTGCAGTTGCAGAATATAAAAAGACCTATAGGGTAGGTTCGATATGTATATTTTTACACTGTTATTACCGTTATTCTTGTGCATACTTTTCTAATACATTTTATCATGTCTGCTATCACTTCTACTATTAACGTTCGAGGAGAGTTATCCGCACATAACGATATCCCATACACAAAGTATTTTGAGCTTTGCTCATATGAAAATTGGTCTCTCCGCCACTACGTCTCCCTTATAATTGATAATTATAAGTTCGCTGAGAAAGACAAAACACATTATTACTTTTTTGATACTCTGCACCACATTAGTAATAATTTGCGTATATCACAAGAAATTCGGGATATCGCTCAAAAACTCATAAAAAATAGAAAAGTAGGTATAATAAATATAATTAATAAGATTTGATGGGGTCTTATTGCCAGGTGCTTGTACCTATTGGATATATGTCTAGTAGGAACTATGCAAGTACTGAAATGGATGCGTTTGTTGGAGTCACGTCTGGCAAACATCATGGAATTTATTGATATAAATTTTTAGTAAAGATCTGTTGATTCTGAAGGAGGATTCAACTATGTACCTTTCTTTATATTAAGTGGGCATTCACCAATGAAGTAAAATATTCTCCAGCATTTCCAGAAAAGAAGAAGGGATACTTTCATGTCCTCCAGTAGATAAAATCGAATATCACCATGTCCGGGAAAAGATATAAGAATGTCAAGTTGGTATTCATTGCGGAAATCCGGATTCCAAAAAACGAAAATTTCTCACCGGTTCTTACACGGATGTCCACTTAATAAAAATTTATATTGATATATTCCTGCACCCGCCATCTAATCTTATTTTTGTATGATTGTGCTTACTGGGAAATATTTCTCATCTGGTTTTGTTTTTATAGACTGATGTCGGGAAAGTAAATAGCTTGTGGAAAAAAGCTAACAAGGAAAGGAAGTCATCGCCACCACCATCATCATCATCACTATCATCATCATCGCTAGCATCATCATCATCATCATCATCAGTATTAGGGAAGAGGCAGAGTGACGCAAATATAGTAGATTTTTCTTCGAAAAAACCATGTATAATACCTGATATAAG